ATCAAAAGTTATTTAAGATTTAAAAAGGTGTCAAATTATATCTGTTTTAGTACGATTGAAAAAATTGGCCCAGATGATTTAACAAAATCCTTTTTTTAAATATTCAACAAGTTGTTAATAAAAAACTTAAATTTATAAAATAGAAGTTAGTTGTTTATTATTGTTTCTAGATTTTAATTATAATATATAAAATATTAATACGTATTAAATAAAATCCTTATTAATTGCCTTATATTTTTATATTACAGCATTTTTAATATAAATTTATTCAAATATTTAAAATAATTTATATACAACTTATATAAAAAAATATAAAGCTTAAAAAAGCAAAATAGCAATTAAAATAATGATTTCAAATAAATCTTGGATTTCAAATAAATCTTGTCATTCAAAAATATTGATTCGCTATATTAATTTCTGCTCTGAAAAAGAAAATAGTTGTTATAATTCCCAATTATATCCATTTTAAGACATTTGCTAAAGCCAACTTTGTTCTTAATATCAGATTAAGAATAACGTTGCGTCTATTTTAATTTTTTTTTTTCAATACTACATCTAAATAATCCAACGCCCTAACTAATAGCAAAACAAATTTAAAATTAAAATAATATATAGAATAATATTATACAATATAATTTGTTCACCATATCTGCAACATCTTAATATATAGTATAAGTTATTAATAAAAATGTTCATGTGTCGCATAAAATATGTGCCAGGTTGAATTCCGTAGGTCACTTAGCAATATTCATCTCAAACAGCAAACATGTCAGAGGCTTGCCTAGCAAACATACGGGAACCAAACTGTAAAGTACTAGTCCCCCCGGGCAAATATGAAATAGTATACCTATGAAAATATTTTTGTTATTTTTTTTTTTAAGCTTAAATGTTGCTAATTTGACAGATCTCATATACGCTCATCAGCTTACCATATGAGAGCAATTACTTGAATGATACTAAATATAATGGTGAGAATAGTCCATCGTAACTTTAAATGGCAAGGATCAAAACAGATTTAAAAGTATTAATTAGTACACTATATAATAAACTGAATAAATTAAGGAGAGCACTACTTTACCCCAATCGCAAAATATAGAGTCGCGGCCATCGAGCCAAGGTAAGCGACAGTGAAAGGTAAACGTTCTCGAGAAAAAATATGTCGAAGGTGTGCTAGTGGACCATGAAGTAAAGCAAAACTATAAAGACAAATATTTAAGGTTAATATCCATTAATAGATTGAATAAACTTAAAAACTTTAAATATAGTAAACCTTGATATAATTAAAAGACTGCCCATCGTATAGGTAACCGCAAATTTTCGCGGGTTTATGGGTAAAAGTGGCAAGGACACAAAAGCCTATTCAATAATTGGAAATGAATACATAGTATTTTATACCATACATTAAGGATCACAGGGTGGAAAAATGTCTTACAATAAGAAAGCAAAGTGCTCCGGAAGCAAACAATATTCCGAAACCGGCAAGTCGCTGTAAAGATGTAATAAATAGTTAACAACGTAAAAGTAAAGACGATTAATTAATACTAATTGAACTAACCTGCCATCTGGTTAGTGTGAAACAGTCGTCTTCTTCATTGTTGTTGTTTGTCAAGGGTAGATATCCTTGCACCCTATTGCCAATGCTTCCAAAAAAATTTGTTGTGTTTTCAGCAAATTGAGAAAAAGATGTAGGCTTACTGGTGGAAATATTAGCGTTGTTAGAGCTAGAAGCCCAACGAAAAGAACGCAGTGATTCGCGAAATTGTTGTTCACCGCTTGACATTGTGCGAGTTTCAAATAAAATAAGGTTCTAATGATTGAACCTGATCCTAAAACTCAATTGCCCGGGAATATAAAAGCTACTAAATACTAAAGGCATCGAGCCATTCAAGTGTATGAACTGAGAAATTGACATGATTATCCGTTATGGAAAACTATAAATTGGCTAGTGTTGCACTACAAGTTATCAGCCACTGAATTTAGCAATATATAACAATTGTAGCGGTTGAAAAACGAAATTTTTTTTACTTTCACCAAGATGGCTGCTTTACTTAAAGACCTGGCCCTTTGGGGTCTTGCTATTTGCACTATTTTTATAGTTGTTAAAGCAAATACTAGTGTCGAGCCAATCGGAGAAAGCGTTATTCCACTACGCACCCACTCTCTTTATATGCCGTATATTGGTGAGAGAATAAAGTATTTTCGCTTTTAAGTTTACATCAGCAACAAAGCTAATCAAAATGTTATTCAATCCAACTTTAGACCAAGATCTTCAAAATCGTTGGTTCGACTTTGGTGCTGACACAGTAATTAACACTAACAAGTATATTAGATTGACACACGATCGACAATCTCAAACTGGCTGGCTTTGGAGTAGATTGGTACGAGTTATTCCTTTGTTTTTGCGAGCTATTAATAGTTTAATTCGTGTCAATTTGAAAGCTTGAATAAAATAATATAGTCCGCTAAAAATATTAAAAATATCGATGGCAGATTGTAAACCATTATGGCAAAATTCATAATTGAAAACTCATATTGAATGTTTACATTTACTAATAGCCCTTGACAGCTACGAACTGGCAGGTTGAATTTGAGTTCAAGATTGACGGGCATAACCCTAACTTGTATGGTGATGGAATGGCCGTATGGTTTACCACGGACCGTGCAAAGCCCGGGCCTGTATTTGGATTCATTGACAAATTCGAAGGATTAGGCATATTCTTTGACACGTATGCTAACTCCAGACAGTCAGTAAGTACAAATATGGCGCATGGAACATGTTGTCTTTTCCTCACGTATTTGTACTCTTTCTTACTATCTTAGCTATCGTTAGCATTCATTTCCCTATGTAATGGCAATGATGGGTGACGGTCATACTGAATATGATAATGCAAATGATGGTAAAGCTAATGAAATTGCCGGATGTGAGGTAATATGGTAGATTAATTGACTATCGTTGATTAAGCAAGATTAAATATGTATTTTTATTTTAGGCTGATATACGTGGTAAATCGGTTGCAACGAAAGCGCGCATCACATATTACAAAAATACATATCTTGAGGTAAAATACATCCTTATTTCCTTATTACAATTTTATTTCACATTCATTACTTCATGAAATATCTAAATTTCAATTTATGTTAAACTAGGTCAAATTACAATATAAGGAATGGGACCAGTGGGAGCCATGCTTTACTATTAATAATATAACGATCCCTACTGTTTCCTATCTTGGTTTCAGCGCATTGACTGGTGATGTTAGCGGTATGTGTATTTTCGATTACAATGCTTTTTTTTATAACATTTTTCATCCTTTTAATTAGGCATTATATTTGAAAATTTGTAGATAGCCACGATATTGTTAGTATTACAACAAATAACATGATTTCTGTCCCTCCGCGAGTTCAAAAGGTAATATTGTTTATAACTGTTATCTTTGTGTTTTCCACAAATAACTAACTCTTTTTAATCAGCCAATTACGCGACAAGAAACTACGTCCTCAAGCTGGTTTGGATTGTTGTTCATTCTCAAGCTCATTGCTACTACTGCTTTTCTTGGTGTTTTGGTGTTGGTGTATAGAATGTATAGAAATCAGTCAAATAAAAGGTTTTAAACCCACTTTTTATAATTTTTTTTTTTTTCTTTTTTATAAGAAACGTTTAATGAAAATGTAAATTTAATGCTCTATTAATTTAAAAAAATTTTTGACGAAGAAAATGAAATTTGTAAATGTTCCTTGCCCTATAAATACTTTATTTTATATAAATCTGATTTTTTTTTTTTAATCTACATATAACAATAATTATTTTATTAAATGAATTAAAGTTTTGACTCAATTTATTTACACGTTCAAAAATAGAATTGCCTGCCGTAATTGATTTCAGCTATTACAACATATAGCTTGCAAACGGTTGCAATATTGCAACCTTGTTAAAAACAATTACGGTAGGCAACTATAGTTCTAAACAATTATGTATTATTTCAAATCAAAATTTACGTTCCATATTATAATAATCTTTGTCATGAATTAAATAATATCAGTTTTTTTTGTCTATAAAAACTTTTTTTAAGTAGAATTATTGTATTAAAGTTATTTTAAGATGTAAATGTGTAAAGTTTTAAAAAGTTTTACAAATGTATGTTTTGATTAAATTACACATTTTCTTTCTCGCCCTCGAGATTAATTTTTTTATCATGGTTTATCAATTCTCCTTTTTCTAATACTTCAGAAGCATCTATTTCCCTCATTTTTTTGCTTTCTTGATCCTTGATCCATGTGTAAAAACAACTTCCTGTGAGAATTAGAAATATGCCAGCAACACGACCACTAGTCAAAATTTCTCCAAATAAAAGTGCACCAAGAATGGTCTGAACAACACCACGAAATGCGGATGAAATCATGTGTGTCACAGGCGAAGTGACTTTAATTTGGAGAAATCCAGCGACATTTATCAAAAAGCCAAAGAATCCCTTTAAAAACATCAAATAAGAATTAACACCATGAAAATATATCGTGCAATTAATGAAAATAATAATAATAATAATCATATTATATATACCGTAACGACAATACCGACAAGAAAAGTCCTAGCGGAGGAACTAACATTACTATCAGATAAAGCGGTAGGATCCGAGCCAAAAAATAACGCGAAAACATCTTTTTGTTCTCCTGCTAGTAAGATTACGGGAGTAAATGCGATAGCACTCAAAAGATTGTTATAATAAACCAATTCCATAGTATCGCCTTTAACAACATCTAAACTCTTTTTTATAACGATAGCATGTAAAGCCGTAGAAACAGAAGAACATATTCCAAACAATACTCCAATCATAGAGAGTGTTAAACGTTCCGAAGTTACACCAACAAAGAATCCCGTACAGACAATAAAGCATGCTAAAAGAATCCTCAATGATGATTTTTGATGAAGAAACATGAGAGAAAATAAAACTGTAAATGGAAGCACCAATGCACGAGCGACCTTTATAAATGCATAGAAAAAATGTGAATATAAA